AGGAGAAGGAGAAGGAGAAGGAGAAGGAGAAGGAGAAGGAGAAGGAGAAGGAGAAGGAGAAGGAGAAGGAGAAGGAGAAGGAGAAGGAGAAGGAGGCAGCATTACTAAAAGCCCCAGAGGACACAGCCCCAGCAGAGAAATCTCTCCGCTGCCTCTCCTGGGCTGTCCCAGCTCTGGAAGCTTCCAACAACATCAACATCTGCAAGCTGCTCTCAGGAAAATCCGGCCAAAAATAGCAGAGATGTGCTGTCCTCAAGAGCCACAAACTTCTGACCCCGCTGAGGTCACAGCGTGGAGAGCATCACACACCTACTGCTCAAAGCAGGGTAAAACCACAAAAAGAGCGATTCAGCCCGGCCAGGAATGCTGGTTTCAGTGAGTTTTTGATCTCAAACCCTGACCCTGTTCAAAGGCAGCAGCTCACCCCACTCAGCAGAGCCTCACCCAGACTGTCCCCATCCCTGCCAGCCCCCAAAGGACAACGCTCCCCATCCCTGGAGCTCTGATCTGGTGATTAAAACATTCCCAGAGCAGCAGAGCTCCAGCAGGACTCGGGAGAGCTCGGGGGAGGTGGCAGGAGGTGTCCCTTGGGGACACCCTGCACAGCTCAGGCAGCACTGCCACGTCCTGCCCATCCCATCCCATCCCATCCCATCCCATCCCATTTTCCCATTATCCCATCCCACCAGGAATGGGAGCCTGGGCTTCATTTTGGGCCAGCTCTGAAGTTCAGCTCCGATTCCGCTCAATCTGCAGCCGCAAAGCCACAAACGACTCGAGGCCGGGGATGCCGCTCCCACCCCGGCTGTGTCATTCCCGGTTCCCGCTTCCCAGCCATGTGGAAGCGCTTCCCAAAGCATCCCCGTTTTGTCAGGGCCACCCTCCCGCGGGTCCATTGTGCCACCCCAGGCGAGTCCCGCGGGCTGAGCTCCGCAATCGCCGCTGGGATCCTTCCTGCTGCCACTCAGCCGCTGGCATTGTCACCAGGGTCCGGCCAGCCCCGGCTGTGCCAGGCTGGAGGAGATGCCGGGCACCGCAGTTTTTGCTCCACACCCCTCAAATCGCTCCCGGCAATGCCCGAGGGGAGGGATTTTCCTCTGGAAACTGCTCTGTGGCAATCTGCATCCCTTCGGAATGCGGATGGTGTCACTCTGGTGATGGCAGAGCATCCCCGTGGGAGCGGCATTCCCTGCTGGAGCGCCCTAAATAATGACAGGAGCTCGCCTGGCTCCCTGACAGCAGCAGCTTCGTTCAAAGCGAAGGGAGGAAGGAGAGGAGTTCCCGCACCCATCACGGCCGGGAAACGCGGAGATTGTGGCTTTAAATAAAGGAATAGGGGTGGGGAAGCACAAATCACCCAAAGAACAATTAATTCCCGTTGCCTTCAGGGCAGAGTTAGGCACCGGAGCTGGGTCCTGGTCAGGAGATGGGGAAGTTTTGCTGCCAGCAGGGATCTGAGCCGTCCTGGTGGGATCAGCACCTTTCTACCCCAAATATCGACGTTGGCATTAATTCGGAATTAAGGCAGACTCTGTGCTTGGTAACCAGCATCAGACCTGGGGGTTTGTCACAACAGAGAAAAGCAAACCCTCTGGAATTCCTCCTTTCATCCACAGCAGGAAAAGGTTTCTCTGATTGCTTTGGCCTTTGTGCTCACCAGGCTGGGCTCCCATTGAGGGGAGATCCACAAACTCAATTTATTCTTTACAAGTTTCCTGCTCCTCCCTTTCCCTGCCTGGGAGCAAGACCTGGGGAAAACAACCTCACACCTCAGACTTTCCCCGAGCAGCTGCTGATATGGAATATTTGTAATTTAGAGTTCATCCGTGGCCTGGGATGGCGCTCAGGGGATACCTCGTGTCCACTCCGGAGTGTTACACAGGGGTTTGCTGTTTATTGGGAATACAGATGGGGATGAGAGGACAAGGAATTTTGTCAGGGAGGTGTTTTGGTCTCCGGAGCAGGAATGCAGGAGGAGCAGCACGGCCGCACTGCTGAGCCCCTGAACCCGCAGGGAGTGCCTGTCCCACTGGGACATGTCCCGGCTGTCCCTGTCCCCATCGCTACGAACAGGAAAAATCCCTGTTCTCACTCCCACAGCTGCCCCCAGTGCTCACAACCCGGGCTCTGACAAACGCGGACACCGCCCGAGGAGAGAGACCCTCGGGAACATCGGGACGGAGGAAGGCTCCGGGATGGAGGAAGGCTCCGGGATGGAGGAACACTCTGGGATGGAGGAAGGCTCCGGGATGGAGGAGTGCTCCGCTCCAGTTTTCCATCCCTTCCCGAAGGAATCCGGCCCCGCTCGGGGGAAAGGACGGGCTCGTGCCGCCACCCAGCGGTGTCCGCGGGGACACCGGGACAGGGACACCCGGACGGGGACACTGTAGCCGGGACACCCGATTCCGGACCCCGCTCCGGACCCTTTGTCCTTCGGGATCCCCTTCCATCCCCTCCATCCTCAGGGCTCTCCCCGCAGCAATCCCTGCTCCGGGATCCCCTCCATCCCTTCCGTCTGCTGGGAAGTCGCTCCAGCCCCTCCATTCTCAGGAATCCCCGCCCCGGGATTTCCCCTCCAGAGCCTCATTCCCAAGGGATTCCCTCTCAGGGATCCCCTGCTGCAGGACCCCATTTCAGATCCTTTATCTACAGGAATTCTCCTCCAGACGCTCTTCCACAGGAATCCCCGTTAAGAAATCCCCTTCGAGCCTCTCCCTTCGCAGGAATCCCCGCTGGGGATTCTCATTCCAACCCCTCCATCCTCCTCAGGGATCCTTGTTCCAGCCCCTCTGTCCTCAGAGATCCCTGCTCAGGGATTTTCCTGCTCCAAGCCCTTCTGTCCTCAGGGATCCCCACTCCAGGCCCTCCATCCTCCCCATTCCACACCCTCCGAGACCCCTCTGGGATCCCCCTCCAGCGCCTCCATTCCCCTCCAGCCTCTCGGGATTTCTCCTCCAGCCCCTGCATCCCCTCTGGGATTTCTTCTTCATCCTCTGGGATCCCCCTCCATCCCCTCTGGGATTTGTCCTCTGTCCTCTGTGATTTCTTCTCCATCCCCTCTGGGATTTCTCCTCCATCCTCTGGGATCCCCCTCCAGCCCCCCGGGTCCCCCCAGGGCACAGCTCCCCCTTCCCCACTGACATTCCCGTTTTCCCAGTTTGTCCCAATCCTACAAATCCTTTCCCTGCAGGAATTCCAGGCTTCCCTCCCTGACCCAGATTTGGTTTCTCCTCATTTCCAGGCACTTTCAGGTCACCTGCATTGCACTGAGGGTTTCATTTGGGAAATGTGCATTTTAGGCTGTTTTCCCCCATTCCCTGAGCTTTAAGGAACACAACCAGGCTTTCAGGAGGGTGAGGCTCAAATTTAGGGGCACATCCATTTCTCTGAGCCCCACAGTGAGCCCTTACTCCCCAAAATCACCTTTTTTTAGCCATTTGTGCCTTCTAGGTGACAATTTTGCTCATACAAGGTCCAAGGACACCCCTGTTTTTCAGTCCCTCACCTCACCTGAGCTGCTCCAGGGCTCTCATCCTTTCCCCACTGACAGAACAACTCCATGGTGTGATTATTCCATGGCCACAGGGAATATTTTACCACCCTCCTCACTAAAAAACCCCTTCTTGCTGGAATATTACCAGCAGGGACGCTTTCAAAAGACAAATGACATGGAATTGTGGCCTTTTTTTAATTCACATTTAAAAAAAGCTGCCCTCTGCTTTGCCTTACTCTTTTTGTCACTACAGGTTGAATCTTATTGCTGTTTATTGCATTGAGGTACCCAAATCCTGCTGCAAGGAGCTAAAAAAAAAAAAAAGGCAAATAAAGGGAATCAATGCTTAAATCCCAGCAGTTTCTTTAATATGCTGTAAAGAAACACCTTCAGAAAGTAAATAACAGGGAATGCTGGTTCTGCCAGGAAGCCTTGCAGGGCAGGACAGAGCCTGGGATGATCCATGGGATGCAGTTTTAGCCATCAGTAAAGTGACAACAGAGCTGTAAAAGCCTTTAAAAAACCCCAAAATCTGTCCCAGTAAGCCAGGACAAAGCTCAGCAATCTGTGGAGAGCCTCTGCAGGGCTCTGAGGAGTTGGGAGAATTCAGGATAACTTTGGAGCAGGATCCAAACCCAGGCAGCTCCCACCTGGCTCCTTGCTCTGAGCTGTTCCCAGCCCGGGTTCACACACATCAAGGTCAGGCCTCAGAGTGCACCCAAAAAATTGGCAGAAGCCGAGAAAAAGGAGCCACAATGGATCCTCTGTGAGTGCAGCTCCTGAGGATCCTCCAGGGCACTGCTGGGGCTCAGGAATCCCAATTTTGGTGACAGCAGACAAACAATCCCAGGAGTTAAACAGAAACGGGAGCTGCTGCCTTCAGCCACAGATTGATTTTCTCCCTGCCAGGCAATTCATCAGCAGGCAAAGTTTTGATGAGTGCTGGAGGGGAAAAAGAGAATTTACAACCCAAATTCAATTTCATTTTACTGCAGATTTTTTCCTGATTTCTTCCCGTGTTCCACATAATTTTGGTTGATTTACGAAAGCTCTGCAGCCACCAGGCCGTGGAAATAAAAGACAAACAAGGATAAACTTCATAGTTTTTATTCTGCAAAGCAATATGCACATCTTACAAACACAAAAATTAATCTAGGAGAGAAATGTCATTTCCAAATCAGCTATTAACCATCATGCAACAAGACAAGTGAAATGTAAGAACAAAACAAAACAAAAACCAAAAAACAGCCATCTGGAACCCTACAATCACCTGCAGAGGGTTGAAACCAAGGCTCAGATTTTCTATATAATGCCAAAGAAAATGCAAAAAAAAAAAAAAAAAAAAAAAAAAAAAAAAAAAAAAAAAAAAGAAAAAAAAGAAAATGGCAGCTTTCTAAGAACAAGAAAACACGTACAAATAGAATCAAAACTGATTCAAGTCATAGTTAAAAAGAAAAAAGAAAACAAAAAAAGGAAAGATCAATATGATCTGAACTTTAATATTAAGTTTTAACTCTTCTGTTTGGCTGCATTTAACTTTGTACATCGCCTGGGAACAATCCAATATTCCTCAGCATTCCAGCATTTTGGCCTGCTGGGACACCCTGCACCTCCCTGCTGCAATACAGGGGGCAAAAGGACGAACTAAGGCCAAAAACATCCAACTCTCCAACGTTTTCCCTTTTGCATTATGGTCACAATCTTTAAGATTCCTGGGGGGTGCAGAAAGTGGGGGAGAAGTTGTCAAGCAGGCTCCTTTCATTCCCAAATGGTTTCCCTGACTGCCCCAATTCCAGCTGGGATGTTTGGAGTCGGAATTTGTTGGAAGAGGAAGGATTTGCTTTGCTGAAGGAGTCAGGTGATGGCGGGAGGGTTTTTGGGGATTTTCAGGATTTGCACCACCTCCCTCCCAATCTCCTATTCCTGCCTTTGGTCCCCAGATCAGGCCACCCTCGGAGGCAGCTCTTGGAGTGAGGATTAACAGGGAAGGCTGGGCTTGTGTGATTTAGGACCAGCTCAGGCTGGGATTTAGGAACAGCTCAGGAGAAGCTCTTGGCCTGTTTCACTTCCCTGCCTCATCCCAGGGAAGCAGCATCAGCCCATAGCAGCATCAGGAGAAAACTGGGAGCTTCTTTTTTATCCCTAAACTTCAAACCAGGCCATCTCTAAAGCTTTGCTTTAACATTCCCTAGAGAAAAACATGTCAGGAAATCCCAGTAAAGGAACTGAATTTTTGTGGGAGGAAACGTGTTCTGAAGGAAACTGGGACTGCTCAAACACCCTGAAGACTCGTGAACTTACTGAAGTCCCAACACACACAGAGCAGCAGTGGTGTCTGCAGGGAAGAAAATGGGAATTTTATGTCAGCATCACTGAGACTATGAGATTCTCACTTGGCTTTTTCCTTTTGTGGAGGTTGGAGCAAAAGGAAGAGGGAAAAAAGCCTGTGGGAAAGAGTGAGTGAGTGAATGAATGAGTGAGTGAATGAATGCAGAGCTGTCACACCACCTGAGAAAGATGGGAGAAAAGATGAAAAGTCAATTAAGGCAACCAGTGAGATTTAAAAGCAGTGGTGGAAATGTCTGCAGGAAGAGCCTGACCCCTGAAATTAAGGAGACTGCTCAAGTCAAGGAAGAAAAAACCAGCAAAAGGCAGAATGGGGAAGGGAGAAATGCACAGAAGCAAATCTCTGACTGAAGAATGGACACAGAGAACAGCAGGGGTTTCACTGGCTGGATTCTTTGACCTTCCTCATAAGAGCCCCACTTTTGTGGCCATTTTCCCCTGAGTGGACAGCAGTAAATGGCAATTTAATGAATTTAATGGGCCAGAGCTCAGCAGTGCCATTGGCAGCTGCTCCTCAGAGCTGCAGGCACAGTCCCAGAGTGAAGCTCTGTAACAAACTCTGAATTTCTTTTCCTTTCACTCTTTGCACTTGCCCAAGGCTGTGCAGAGCCCCAGCAGGCTGCTAACACAATACATCTTTTTATTAAGTTTCACTTTCTAGAAAGAAAAGAAAAAAAGGAAAAGGAAAAAAAAAAAAGGCTGACAGAAAGCTGCTCTGCAGCAGAGACACACAATCCTGGCTGGAGGGCTGGGGATGGGAGGCCAAGTGGAAAAGTTTTCCAGATAGTCTCTGTGCTGACTGGTTCTCTGGCATTCAGCAAGCCAAATGAAATATCAAAAAACCAAACCAAACAAAAAAAAATAAAAAAATCAAACAGTTCTTTTCAGTAAGTAACAGTTTAAAATGGGACTTCACTTCTTAATTTTTTTACTATGAATAAAAGCACAAGTTTGTCCTAAATACAGCACTATTAAAATGTGAATATGTATCTTTTTTTTTCTTCCAAAAGAGAGAAAAAAAAAAAATCTAAAACGTTGATATCTTTTCTTGCAAGCAAGGAGCAAATGGAATAAAGTATTAGGCCACACAAACACACATTGAATTCACGGTGTAGATTGGTGGCTTTGGAAATGCAGGATTATATCAAAGGTGCATACTTGGTTCAAACACACTGTACAGATTGGGCAAAAAAACCAAACATCTCTTGGTTGGTTTGAGACACTTGCAAAGGCATCTTCACCTGCCCAGGTGCAGCTAGACAAAAATCTGCCTCTGTGGAACCTTTTCACTGCAGTTATCTACACCAACGTGGGGCTGTGCCCAGGCAGGGCCAGGAGGATCCCGACCACGCCACGGGACAAGCACATCTCCTCAGAATTCCTCTGGATATTCTGCTTTTATAAATATGTACAAATCAATTACAGGCACTTTGAAATGTCTTTGGTTGGAATAAACCAACATTGCAAGGTAATGGATTCACAGAGTGTTTAGACCCAGGCCGGGTTCAGCAGGCAATGGTTTCGGTCGCTCTCGGGAGAGGGAGAGAGGGTTTTATGCTTCTGACAAAGCAACCTGGGGGGAAAAAAAAAAAAAAAAAAAAAAAAGGAAGAGAAAATATTTAATTAAAGGCAAATTCTTAATCCTGTAACAGTGATATGATTTATCTCTGTGAGCTGGCAGAGCTGTCCTTGACTTTTCAAAGCAAGCTTGGAAAGTCTGACTTGGAAAGGAAATCAAAGCCAGTCTGAAGGTGTTTTGTACTTTGCAAAAATCAATGGAATGAAAGATCCAAACCACCCAAAACCAAAAAAAAACTCCACAAAAACCACCCCAAACCAGCTCAAACTACAAAATATCGCTAAGATCAAAAGCTGTCAACACTGGCTTCCTACTTCTCAATTAAATATATTCATATTTAATCCTTCAGGCAAACTGCAAGTCCCTAAGGTAACACTGAACAATGACTCTTTCAACAGCTTTGTTACTGTTTTTAACTTAATTTTGATTAACAACCAATGACTCTTTCAACAGCTTTGTTTTTAGCTAAATTCTGATGAACAACCCTTAGGATTATGTATCACGTTTTACTCAAAGTTTTCAGTCTGTTGTGGTAAAAGATAATGAATAAATAAAGATTTCATGCCACCTATTCATTGTTTCACACAGAACAGTTCAAGCAACACCAGAATTGTGGCAGAAGAGTCACGGCCCAGCCCTTCCTGAGCTGCAGGAATCCATTTCTGGAGGACATTTTGGGAACTCCAAAGCACTTGTGTGGATTTTATAACCCTCACCTGCACTGTCCACAATGGAACACCCAGGTCTCTCTGAAAGACAATTAAATCCCCATCTCCAGAGACAAGAAAAACCAGTCTGTCCTCTGGCCAGCAGGAGCTTTTCTCTGTTTTCTTATCAGAGTCAAGGTTTTGTTACTCACCTTTTCAGAGCAGAATTCTGTGTTGCTTTGCCTCAGTTTGCTTGGTCTGCCTTTGATGACTGCATAGCAGAACATTGTAATCACCATCACAAAGAGGAAGTAACTGGTGTGCATGAGGTGCAGGTTTATTAGAGAACGATCATCCTGCACACAGAAAAGCAAATTAAAACCATTTCCTGACTTAGCATTTGATATTAAAGCAATAATTACTACATCAACCCAGAAATTACTTCATGAATCAACTTTCTCCCCTTTGCAGAGCAATGGAAGTGATTCCTAATTGTGGCACAGAATGTTTCTTCTGTTAAAAATCTGTGTTGTGGCTATTTCTCCAAATATTGGCAGAGGCTTTTGTGAAATTATTTCAAATTACAAATGGTGGTTATTAAGAGCTGTGAGGCACGTGGATGAAGATCATCAAATCCATTAGGGTGGAGCATTCTCACCCTTTGCACCACACAACAAACCAGCAGCAAAAATGACAATTTTAGGAACCATATTCAATGAACCCAGAGCTAAGCATTTACTGAAAACACCAGAGGAAGAGCCCAGCACTTACATCTGGAACTATGACAGTTAGTTTGGGATTTAAAGCATGGTAGACTTTCCCAATTGCTCCCTTGTAACACCAGAAGGGGTTGTAATCCTGGGCATATTTAGTGTTCGAGTCCCTGGCCGTGGTGAAGATCTTGTACCACAGAGTGGCATTGCTGTAGGTTTCAGGAACACAATGTGGTGGCTGACTGCAAAAAAACACAAATAATCAGCACCCTGAAATGTATTTTCCATGTTCAACCAGGACAACTTTTCTTCTCCAGACATGGTTTTAGTTTGGGCCTTCCAAAGCAACAACAAAACCCCAAAGTTTAAGTTCAAAACCCCCAAAAGCCACATGATTGCAATGCTAAAATTAGAATTGAGCTGCATGTTGTTGCACTAAGCCAACATCCCACAGTTTAATTGGAAAACTACTGGTTTTCCTAAGGCTTCCACAGCCTGGGGTTCTCCAGGTTGGATGGGACAGTGTCAGGGAATGCAGAGAAGGCAAAGGGAAGATATTTTGGTGGCAGCCTTTGCCTTGTGCTGATCCCTCAGCAGGGAAGAGTGAAAGAACCTCAGTGTCAAATCTCATCTCTGAAACTCAATTATGGGATAAAACCCTTAAATTTCCACGGATTCTCTTGCTCCCAGTGAAGTTTAAATCACATTTGAAAGGCAGGCATGGGCCAAAAAACCTCAAAGACAGCAGAGCTTGTGAGAGAAATGAGAGGGAAGGAGTGCAAGGACGTAATTCCCACCATCAACAGGAATTTCCAGGAGGAATTAACAACTCAGAGGAATTAATGAGGCAGGAAAGGGCCCCTGGGGGAGAGCTGCACTCACACTGTGACTGGGAACACGTTGCTGGCTGCTGTCACCGTCATGCAGGAGCTGAACACCACCTGCTCGCAGTGGCCGTGCAGGACACAGTCATCGGAATTCCAGGCAGCCGGCAGGGTGAAGGTGATGTTGATTTCCTCGTGGGATTCTCTGCCTTTGGGAAAGACACCGGGAAAATTGGGGTTTTGGTTCACAAAAGTATCTGAGCAACAATGGCTGGGATAAGGAGAACACACAAATGATTAGGGCAGGAAACATCAGACTTTGGAGTCATCCCGGATCTTTGCAGGCGACAAAGAGCAAAAAGAAAAGTTAAAACCCAAAACAAAGCACAAAATCCCCCAGCTGCTGCTCTTTCTAATCTCTCCCACTCCAGAACTGGGCTCACCAGGCTGCTTTCAGAAATTAAAAACTCTTTATAAGTGAATTCATGCATGTTTATTAGAAAAGCCTTTCTCCTCCTAAGAACTTTGTTCCACATCTGTTTTTTCGGATGCTCACTTTTCAAACTGGAGATATCTGTGTAGAGAAAAAGGTGCCAGCAGATACTGAACTGCACATTAAGTCATGTACAATAACTCCACATGGAGAAATTCAGACTGAAAACAAATCCAGGCTGCTGCAAATGGAGCTTGCATTTGGTAGCTCTCAAAGCAGGAACAAAACAACAGAAAATACAGTAATGCACATTTGCAGCTATGGGCAATGTCTCTCCACAGCTTCAAGACCTTCAATATTATTATAAAATGCAATTCTGGCTGAAAGCTAAAATACAGTGAGGTTCTATTACCAATTTCTATTAATTCTCTATGAATTCCTGGCAGGCAGCCAGAGAGCAGATTGGTCTCTGCACACCACAGAAACCATAATCATCTTATCTGGTGCTGTTTGTGATATTAAAGCTGATTCACTTCTGCATTTTAGATAAACTAGAAATTTTTAGACAACATAATACTCCCTTGCTGCATCTATGCCACATTTCAAATGTCAGTTGAGGACCTGATGGATCAAGACAAAACTGAAGAGAGTCACTGGAATTTTGCTGGTTCAAAAACGACCTTCCATTGTCATTAGGTTTAATCATTTCAAACTGCCAAACCTGATCTTGGCACACCTGCAGGTTCTGTTCCATTCTGAACGCAGAGAAAAGTTCCTCTAACAAACAAGTGAAGGGCTCCAAACAGGAATAAACTCACAATAAATCTGGGAACACATCTGTGTTCTGTGCATAAGATTTATCTTACCCATAGTAAGCTGGGGAATTTTTATTTCATTATATAGTGATTTAAATCACAGAAATATTTAGAGTTATACATCTAAAAACTGTCTTGTTTCACTCCCCTGCCATGGGCAGGGACACCTTCCACCATCCCAGGTTGTTCCAAGCCCTGCCCAACCTGCTCTTGGACACTTCAGGAATGTGGCATCCACAGTTTCCCTCTTCACCACCCTCACAATAAAGATTTTCTTCCTAATATTTAATCTAAACCTGTTTAGCTTCAGTTTGAAGCCAACCCCCTTGTGAAAGGTTAGAAAAGAAAACCATAACCTGCATTTTTAAAAATCCAGCCTTGCCTACCTGAAAGTCCAATCTGGTGCCCAAAAATGGTGGAGCTGAGGTGAGTGACATTGCGGGAATATCCCCCAAAAGGTCTCAGGGGGTCCAGGGTCAGCGTGATGGTGACAGAGATGTTGATGGGACCAGAGTCCTCGAGGGTCTGTGGGGACTGTGTGGAAGACCTGGCCTGCCCGCTGGTCACGGTGCTCTCGGGGGTCGTGGTGTCATTCAGGAGGTGCTTTAAGGTTTCATTCTCGGATATACAGAAGTCCAAATCATTAAATCTCAGGAGGAAAGTATTCCAGTCCTTCAAATAAAGAAAGAGAGATTTCCAGGCCGTGAGGGAGCTCACGCCTCCCGTCCCAGGCCATTACACAGAAATCACACGGCTCACAGAGCAGCACAAACACACCACGGCTGCCTCAACCACAGCAAAACTGTTTGTAGGAGTCACCTGGGCTCAGTCCCAGCTCCCTCCCCTGAGCTAGAAAGGAAACTTGGTCTGTCCTCACCATGCTCCAGGGTTTCTGCCCAGGTTTCCCTGTTACAGGGAAGAAGTTCACCAAACTAAATAACCACAACTAAACAATACATAAACATAACAATAGCTAAACTCCCCAGCTAAATAACAAACTACAAGGTTCCTAGCCACAGCAGGGAACATCCATGACAGACGATTTGGCCTCATCCTCGATGTAAAACAAAACTCACAAACATTCACCCCAACATCCCTTCTGAAAGCCAAAAATGAGACAATCCCCCACACAACTCTGCTCTCTAGGAGGGGGAAAAAAATGCACTTCAGGCATGTTTCCCAAATTAACATCATTTCTGCAGCGTGGAACACAGATTGAGAAAGTAAGAAATTTACAGCCTGAAAAATATTCCAGGCTGGAGCTTCTCAGCTCTGTTCCCAGCCCATCAGCTGGCCCAGCTCAAGGCTGGGGAGAATTTCTCCCAGGGTGATAATTTGGTCAAAATACAAAGGAATTAATAACAAAGATAGAACACCTGTTGTGGTGTGTGCCCAGGCCCTGGCAATGGGGTGTCTTCTCTCTGAACCAATCACCTTTTCTCTGCTCTTAGAATTGCAGTCATGCTATAAATAAACTGAATAAACTTGGCTCTTTCTTCCTGTCATGAAAGACAACCATGTAGCTGTGCATCTTATTTCTGCCACACTGAAAGGGTTAAAACCCCTTTCCATGGCCACACTCACGTACCTCAGTCATTTCTGGTGATTTGATCTCCTTGATTTTGAAGAAGTAGCCCAGGGTGAGGAAGGCGATGGCCATGGCGCTCACGCTGATCATGAACACCACGAGCGGAGGGCGGCTGCTGATATAAACCTTCAGGTTCTCCAACAGGTTTATGTAGAACATTATTCTGATTGTTCACCTGAAGGGAAACAATGTTCCAACAGAGTCACTGGACTGTGTGTTACAGGTGGGAGGTGGTGCATCACATCACACTCAAGTGTGACACAGAGAAATGGGATGTGCACAAAATTGAGATTCAATTCCGTGGCTGTGCTGCTCCCCGAGCACAGAGTGTGTGCCTGAAATGCAGCAGCCATCACAACAGGCTCCACATCACCTTCCCAGGGCCTCAAAGTGCCAGCTGGGAAGGAGAATTTAAGGAATGAGGGCTTCCAGCACAGCCCAGCATCGCTGATAAATGATAAACCCAGTTCTTGCCTTTCCCCAGGCAGGGTGGCACTGCTGCATTTTAATGCCAGAGATGTCTGAATGCACCAAGCTACAAATCAAACTTTGCACATCCTTTGAAAACCGAGGCTGAAGCCTCAAGGATCCCTCTTTAGCCCATTCTAAATACCTCTGTATTCAAAGCAGGGTCTGAGAAGCAGCCCTACATTATTTTAGCCTTTTACATCAAGAATCCTATGATCAGAAATACTCAAAAACTGCATTAAGACTCCTGGAAGACTTAAGACATTAAGGCTGGAAGACTCTTGGTATTTATTTAATTCCTGCAGGATCTGGAACTTTTTGTCCTGTCTGTAAGCCAAGCCAGGACCTTACACGCTGAGGAAATGTCCCAAGCCATTAATTTTTGCCCCAAATCGCCGTTTTTGGCCCCGTTTCTCACCCGTTCCCAGCGCTCTCTGCAGCTCCCCGTTATTAATTAATCAATTCATTAATTTTTGCCCCAAATACAATATTTTTGTCCGATTCCCCTCCTGAATTTTTAACTGCAGAGCAAAAAGACCCAAATTTTTGTATCAGCTTCCCCACCTCTCCTCGCAGGGAAGAGCAAAGAGCCAGGTGTTAAAGGGCAGCCTTGTGACATCTCCTTCAGAAGCTCTGCGAGGAGGAACTCGAGCCAACCTTTGTCTTACCTAAACCCTGGCTGAAAAAGCTTTGAACCCCAACTAAACCACCGAGGCAGGAGCTGTTCCTAGCAATCCCCAAAATTCTGAGGGAAAGGCAGAAAGAATTCTGCACTGCAAGGGTTAAAGTTGGAACATCCATAGAGATCTGATAACATTTAATTAAGGCAGGGACTGCTCCTGCAGGTCGGGGTGATTGCCACTGACTGCCATCACTGTCATTTACAATCCAGGTGCAGCAGGGCTGAAAAGTGGATGAGAGAGGCACAGGGCAAGGCAGGGAGGGATCTGTGATCTGATCTATTGATTTAAGAGAAAACAAAAGAAGGGTAAAGGACTCAGACAAAGCCCTTTTCAGAGCCCACGGAGTACAATGATCCCAACTTCCTTGTGTATACCCAGGATTTTATTGGCAGGATTGCTTGTTCCTGTTAACAGAAGAAATATTGACAGAACCTGCAAAAGTGCCCCAGAGAGGGGAAAATCCAGCTCGGGGAGAAGAGACAGAGGTGCAGTGCCAATAACACAGCCCTGGGCTGTGCTGCTGACCTGGCTGGAACCTGCTGAGCCAGAGCCCTCCAGAGCTCAGCATCCCACCCTGGGCTCGGAATTTTGCACCATCAACCCCTTCCCATCCACCCTGCAAAGCCCAGGAAGTTTTGCTCAGTGAGAAGTGAGGGTGCTGTGAACGTCTCCACAAACTCAAGAGTGAAAAGCAGGGAAAAGGAGAGGGAAGAGAGGGGAAGAAAAGGTGATGAGAAATGTGCACCTTACCAGAACTTCGTCCCAGAGCAGCTGTGGCACAGCCAGGCCAGGGGAGGTGACACAAAGCAGCAGGGACAGGGGAAGGGAGAGCTGGGGCTGGCAGGGATCATGCTGGGAATGAATGATCCGCCCTCCTGCACGTTCTGCCTATCTTGTCCCTGGCAGCAAATTCCTTAAAAGAGCCCGAGGTAAAAACCCCAAACCAAGCAGCAAAATGCCAAACACTCCCTCTGGAAACATGGGAGACACATGCAGAGATGGAAGGAGATCAAAACCTAAACCAAAAGCAGAGCTGTAGGCAGCGTCCCCTCCTGAATTTCCTTTAGGAAATAACACAGATGCAGAGTTTATTGCAGTTTTAATCAGGGCTGAGTGTCACCCACAGCACATCCAGGGCTGGGATTCCTTTTTTTTAAAGGGGTTTCCAACAGCTCCATTAGAATTTGTATACCACAGGGTCTAAAGCCAGCCATGAAAAATCCGGGATGTGCTGAAAATCCTACACAGAGAAATATTCAGGCTAATATTTTTATGTAAGAGATCACCAGCTTTTAAGTGCCAGTTGTTTAATATGCTGCCATAACTCAGTGGCTTTGAAAGCAATTAGAAAATGTCATAAGCTGCAATTTCTGAGGAGTAATGTGCCTTTGGAGCATTTGGAAGGGAAAAGGGAACAACTGTGGATTTCAGTACTGGAGCTGACATGAAAATAGCAATGGATGAATGTTTCCATGCTGCTGCCTGAAGAATTACTGATTTTTTTATCAAAGTACTTAAATAACTTTAATTATCACAGAATTTGTGATCCAGATCAGTGCATTACATCAAAATGTCTATGGATTTTCAGGGTTCCTTAAACTCCTCTCTGTTAGAATCAGAATGCATCACAACTCTGCTGCCAGCTCTTGCAACTCACTTCCTCCTCTGTGTAAATTAATAACTTCAAAAATATCATTTAAACTTCTATTTCTTGTTCACAGAGTATTAAAAAAAAACCCCAAAAAAACAACAAACCAAAACAAACCAAGCAAAACAATGCTTTTACCTCTTGGCAGGTCAGGCAAGCAAGATCAGGTTTCACTTTTTAGCCAAATAAATAATTTAGTGAGTGGCTCTAATGACTGCTGCTGCCTCTCCCCACTCCAGCAAAGCCTTTTAATACTTGGTGCAATAAAAATCTCCCCAGTCAGACTAAACAAGGAGCTCAAGAATGAAAACTGCCAGGCTGGAACATTGGCCAGCAGCTCCAAGGTAATTGCTGGGTAGTGAGGGATGTTCAGCAGCAGTTCCAGCTGCTGCAACTCGCCAGGAAAGCCTGGAAATGTTGTGCTCTTAAATCAGCATCTACAAACCCAGGCAGGGAAAAAGATTAAAATTATAAAGGGTGCAAATATAACAGTTTAATCTGTCAGAGTGCCAGAGAAACTCAGAATTCAGCAGCCAAATAAAAAGCAAGAAAATATTCTACAATTTGGGGAGTTTTCCTCCAAAACAGCTCCTGACAGCAACCTCAAAGGAGTTACATTGTGAATTCCTCTTTATTTGTGTATGAAAGTGTGGAAAAGGAAGCTGCTGAAATAGACTGATGAGTTTTTCAAAGCTAAATTACAAACAAGGAAAATCTTGAAGTCTATTGCAAAGACCAACAAGTCAATGCAATGAGTCACAGCTGAAAGTATTAAATTCCCATTTTGAGGCTTAATATCAAAGGAGCTGAATTCCTAAGAACAATAAAAACCCCATATTCTGTACTAAAGCAGGTATTGAAAGCAAAATTGCAGTTAACAAAGTGGAAAAAAAAACCCCAAACATGAATTTTAGAGAGATCAAAGTAGTTTGACGTTTTTGTCAATAATGTCAACTACCACCCTGCCACCAGAAAGCTTAAAATGATGGAATTTCCTCACTGATATTTCCCCTTCTTGTTGTGCAGGTAAGGTTATCACTCTGGAGGAGGATTTTAAATGTGAAACCACCACAAAATTGTCCTAAGGAGGGAAATTGGGTGGAGGAGAAGGGCAGGAGGCAGCACTTCTCTTTTAGGATCTCACAAGTGATTTTTTCAACATCTCATTGCACAGAACAGTGTTTAAATTGAGCTGTGCAGCTCAAAAAAAAAAAATAAATCAATTATATTTTCAAAGGTGCCTCACTACCAGGAATGCAAAGGGGTTAGGAAAAGGGTTAAACACTTTGAATGAAAATGATGTTGTGTGCCAGAGGAATATTTACAAACACAAATCAAACAAACTATGGGAAAGCAGCCATCAATAAATGCAAACAAAGCACTGGTGTTCACCTCAACGTGCCTCTCCTTTAACAACAATAAACAGCAAGTACCAAAATCATCTTTCATTTGGTTTTCTTCTCTTCGAATTTGATAAAGCAAAATAAAAATCAGAGTTGTGTGAGCTGGGGCTGGTGCTGTTCAACATCTTTGGGGGTGACAGGGACACGGGGACAAGCTTGACAATGACACCAAACTGTGGGAAGGGATCTGGGACAACCCGAGCAGGTTCAAGACCAAGTGTAAGGAACAGTAACTTTCCCATCCTGGTGTTGAGATCTGCAGCAGCTTCACATCATCTTTTTTTAGGAAGTGTGGATCCCTGTGGGATGAAATTGCAGAGCCTAAAACCTTCCCCAGCAGCAGCAGGGCAGGCAGGAAGGAGGAATTCATCCTGGAGGAATCCTCCAGGGCACAGCTCAGCCTCCTCTCCTGTCCCAGGAACAAAATAAACCCAAATCAGCAACCTCCGAGCACATCCCAGCACATTTCTCCCCAGCACAGAGGGAGGGAAGAAATCAGGGCGTGGGGAGGAGGAAACTTCACGAAAAAATATCACCTTGGGTCCTTGAATCCAACCAAATACAAGCCCAAGATCAGCAGCCAGATGTGCACAAACATCTGCTCCAGTGGGAGATAACGGGAATTATCAGTTTGCTGAGCTATTTTATCCACAAATATCTTAACTGATAAAAAACTCCACGTCTTCCTGGAGCCTGGGAGCTGAAAATGGCAGGAAAATATGCAGAGAGGGCAGGAGGAGAGCAGCACCTGGAAATGTGGAAAAGGACATTCCTTCCTCCTGGTATCCTGATAATGCATCAGGATGCAGAATATGAACAAAAACCAGGGACTTGCATGAATAGAAAGAAGCAAACGCTTCATACTTGCATGAAATGTTTCTTTTCACCTCTCAAAACACTTTTTAAAGCTCAATTAATCATTTTAACATCCCCAAGAGGGGCACAAACAGCAAATATTTCAGGTCTGCCCGTGAAACAAAGCCAAGGAAGGGAAGTAATTTGGTGAGTGATAGAAAATTTTAAAGCTCAAACTGAGACTGAATTTCAAACACCCTAATTCCCGACTTCAACCCTCTATAAAGACAGAAAGCTTTAAATAAAAGGCCAATGATGTAAAAAATAAAAAGGAAAACAAACATTACTCAATCTGTGTGTGACAGCCCTTCCCAACAGTCTGGTGTTGTTCAAAAAGTCTGGTGGATTCACCACAAGCACCTGAACCTTGTGCCAGCTGATACTCTGGGGACAGCAAAGTTGATTTCGATTTCCCATTGGAAGAAAAATTCGTGCAGAAACAGATAGATCCAAACAAGTTCCAAGTATTTTTAATATGCTCTGAGTTCATAAAAATGATGAATGAGAAAAGGGAAGGAAAGTTAAAAGTCAAGAAGCAGAAAGAGAGTGAGGAAGCTTTTTTCCCCTGGTTCAATGAACCCTGAATTCTGACTTTTGTTAGAAGTGAAAAACATAATTTAAAACATACCCAGCTGTAAAATCAAAATGAACTCAACCTCTGGTTGAAAATCAGACATTTTGGTGCCAAACTTGAAGCAGGCATCTCTGTCTGCCAAGAGTCTGTGCCATGGGAATGAATCCACTTCCATCTAAAAGAGCTCATGGGCATTTTTAAACCCTCCAGCTTTTCCAAGTCATGACTTCCAACGTGAGTTACCATAACCCAAATCAGCCAGACTGCAATAAAACACACAATAATAGATGAAGGACTTTGAATTTATACTCAAAATACTATTCTGGTTACTGCTGCTTAGCATGAGAAGCTGGGAGAGGAAAGGAAAAGTAAAATTATTCCATTTTACAGGATCTTTAAAGATCCATGAGAAATCAAATTCTTTGTACACTCAACTGGCAGCAGCCAAAACTACAGGATGGCTTTAATCAAGAAGTGTGAAAATTCTCAGTGACTGTTCAATAATCAGAAACTGTTTGAGTGACCAGCTCAAGGTTAATTGTTGACTTCATTAAGGAATGTGGGACCCAATTCAGCAGTGAAAGTGCAGAGAAATGCCAGGAAAAGGCTCCTCAGTCTGTAATGAGAACTGTGAGGAGACAGAGATGCAGACAGATACACAGCTTGAATCACAAGCAGAAAAATGACTGACAAGCTGAGGAAATGGCAGCTTTGGGGAATGGCAAATTCAGAGTTTGGGTGTGGAAAGAAGGGAGAGAAGCAGCAAAACAGCCAATGGCCACTGAAGGAAACAGAAACAGCAGCAAAACCAACTGAAATGAGGGAGCTGGGCAACAGCTGAGATATCTGCAATATTATCATGTCTGTGTGCTTCACCCCCACTGCTCAAAGGAAACAGGACCTCAACTGGGTGAGCTCACTCCCCATTTTACAGATTAACAAACCCCCAAATGCCAGGACACACACAAGTTTTCATCTGGGAGCTCTGAGCCCTGGGAACCAACTTAATTCACAGGTCAGGACAGGCTTAGAAAGAAAATTAATTCCCACCCAGCCATGCTTTGGGTAAGGGGAATTTTGGGAAAAACAAAATTCTGACACCAGCGAGTTTCATTAATAATATAGGACTCAATTGATAAAAAAGCTTCATTTCTACAAAACCTGTGATGTTATTTAATAAAAAAGAAGATTATCCCAGCTGCCAGATCTGCAGGATCAGCTCAGGGGGAGCTCCAGGAGGGGCCCAGCCGAGGTGCTGGATGTGCCAGGCTCTGTCCTGCTGTCCCCAGCTCACAAAGGACACCGAGCCCTGTTTGTCCCCTGCCCTCAGCTGGGCACTCTCAGAGCACAGGGACTATTTTGTTTGATCAGGTGGCCTTTCAAGCTCTTGTCTTTCAAGTGGAAAAGAAGAATCACATTCCACCAGAGCCACTCCTCAAATCACGGCAGGTAACAAAGGCTTAATCCTCTCCGATGGCGCTCAGGGAGGGTTCTTGAGCCACAATTGAGCATTATCTGTGCTCGGGCTGCCACAAGAGTTCTCTGTGCTGTGAGCACCTGCCGGGCAGGAGCTGGAGCGCTGCCATCAGCGATGATTCCCAGAGCCCGGGCAAAGGCAGGAGCGGGGAAGGGGCAGCAACTCCGCCGGTGAAACCCGAACCGCTGTGTCCTGCCCAGGGGCACCGGGACTCATCGCCGAGTATTTCCTGTAAGTCAGCCCTCAGATAAACGCAATCATCGTTTACCACAAGAGCCAGGCCCAGGTTTTCTTCCCCACCACGTTCCTGCAGCGGCCAAACTTTTCGGGGAAGTTCAGCGAGGATGTGGAGAGCAAACCTTAATGAAGCCTTATCCACGCTCCAGGTCTGTCTGCCGGCACAAATTTAATCGCAAATTCCACCTCCAGAGCTAATCCTGCAAATTAATTTCCCCAAAGACAAACCCTTACAGAGCAAACAAAGGCAAAAGGAGGAAGAAAATAAAATCCCAGCTGTGCTGTAATATATTTTTTTCCGGGGTGACTCCGATCCATGGTTTGGATATAACGGCAGGGATGGAGCAGCCATGTTCTAGGCATGATGCACCAGGAATTGTATTATTAAAACCATCAGGACGTCATTAGACAACTTAAACCCTTCAAAAAGTGAAAGAGGATGAAACATGGGTGTACAGCAAACTGGGGAACAAAACCCCAAAACAACCACACAAATAAAGCCCAACGCAGGAATCACCGTTCAGAGGCTATTTTGAAACACAACTATTTTTAGTGCTACAGAAATTATTATTATTCACCGCTTTTTTCCTTTTTTCCCGCTACGACGCCACGCATACAAACTTCAAAGGGACGACCTTTCCCAAAATAATTTTTTTATGGAAACAACAAAAATAAACCGAGGCTACAACCCCCCAGCAGAGCCGAACCAGTCCGAACCCAGGCGGGACGCGGGGCTCGGCGGGCAGCGCAGCGATGCCGCGGCCCGGGGCTCCCCAGGGGCTCTCCCGGAGCTCCCCCCGCTCCTCCCAGCCCCGGAGCGGCCTCAGGGCGGGCGCATTCCCCGGGCAGGCCGGGCCCGTCCCCTCCTTACCGGCGTCCGCGGCGGGGCTCGGGCCCCCGGGCCGGGCGGGGCTCAGAGGCGGCGGCGCTGCCGTGCGGGCGGGCTCTGCACCATCGTCCTGCCCTGCCGGGGCTGCGGGCACGGGCGGACGGGCAGCGGGGCGAGAGGCCGCTCCCCGGGCAGCCCCGGGCCGGACACACGGACAGGCCCCGGCACCGGGCCCCGCCTCCGCCGCCGCTTCCGGGCCGCAGCCCTGACCCCTCACCCGCCGACGGTGGCGCGGGGGGGACAAGATTGAGGCGGTGCCGGCAACGCGGGAGGGGCCGGGAGCGGACCCGGGAACAGAACCGGGAATGGGCCCGGGAACAGCACAGGGAGAGGGACCGGGAACAGCACAGGGAGAGGGACCGGGAACAGCACCGGGAACAGAACCGGGAACGGGCACAGGCACTCCCCGCGTTCTCTCCTGGCATTCCTGGAAATAGCACCTGGAATGGGCCCGGGAACGGAACCGGGAATAGCACAGGGAGAGGCAGTAGGAATAGAAGGGGGAGTAGGCCCAGGAACGGAACCGGGAACAGAACCGGGAATGGGCCCGGGAACAGCACGGGGAACGGAACCGGGAACGGAACCGGGAACGGCCCCGGGCGCCCCCCGCGTTCTGTCCCGGCCCGGGCGCTGCAGCCCCGCGCTCCCCGCTCCAGCCTCTCTCAGGATGCTCCTCCGCCTTCTCCATCCCCCTTTCCTCTAAAAACTATCCCCAAACATCTTTTTTATGTTTCCTAAAAGTGCCCGATACCTAAAAGAGTTAAGGGTTAAATCCTTAAAGCAAACAAACCGTCATTTACATTGCTCGTGATAAATAATATCATTGTTATATATCGCATTATTATATATTACTGTTTGCTATTAATAATTAGTATTATTAATGGTAATACGATGAGGCTGCTGATGTTTCCACGAGGATAATGTGAAGTCTGGTAGAGCTGTTTGCTGTCCCCGGCTGGACAAGCTGGGAGAAAACCTTCCCTAAATATTGGGTGAAAAATATTCCCTAAAAATGCTTTGGGGAAGGTAAAACTCCAGCTGGATCAGAAAGGTCAGAAACCCCCAGAGCTCCCACAATGACAGTACTGAATTAATGAGTGATAGTCACAATTAATAACTCCAGCAGTTCCTGTAAAATATCTTCCTTACCGAGCGAAATAAAGGCAGGAGCTCACATGAAAAGAAATATTTTACAATAAAAGATCCTGAGCTAAGAGCGGGAAAAACAAAGCCAATTTCTGATACTGTGACAGACTTTTCAATTACTTTAAGGGACGATATTTCCAGTAAATCTCTGGTTCGCTGTTTTTTGCAGCACTGGGGTCTGTGCTCCAAAACCCCGCTCAGGGATTACTCCAAATCCCCCGTTCCTGATTCATTTACTCAAAACATCCCCACTTTAGCGGCTTGGTTACAAGATGGCACATGAAAAAGAGATATTTGAGTTCCAAAATCGTTCTGAAGTGCTTAATCAGCCCAATGGCTTCGCTGTAAAAAAAATAAAAAAGAAACATTCTTACCCAGCCTAGCACTTGAGAATTGTTGTCTGCCGACCCGGAGAATGCAGAAGCAGCGGCGATTATCTCGCAATGAATCATTAATAGAAATAACAAAAGGTGAGGAGGGGTTTAGGGACTCATTAACGAGAGCAGAACGGCCACGTTTTTATTTAAACACGCTCATTTACACAATAGCTGCAAGTTTGCTTCCCCCACCCCTCCTTGGCACACACCTGTGCACCTGGAAATCAGAATTAACACCTAAATAAACGAAATAAACGCCAGGATTATTTACCGAAGCGATTTGGGTGTGGTGACACACGGAATAATTTGGGGTTTTCTTCCTTTTTTTTTTTTTTTTTGTTGTTGTTGTTCTGAGCATCCCAGCGCTGCAGCTGCTTCTCTGGAACACCAGGGATGGTGCATAGTTCATAAAAAGGCTAAAAACTGCCAGAAAAGGGACAAATCACAGTCGTGGTCTGGAGTTATTGCAGTGCAAATTTAATTAGGAGCGGTGCTTTAATGAAGTGGCAATGAATCAAGAGGTAGGTGCTTTCCTCCTCGATGATGGCAAGAATTAAAACATTGCTTAAAAGCAGCTCCAGCTGAGCTTCGTGTTTGAGATCTCAGGAGCACGAAGGAGTCAGGGCTGGGTGGAGCTGGAAGAGATTTCAAATGAGACAGAAAAGATCTCAAAGTTCTGTTGGGAGAGGTTGCTTTTTGTGGGGCGAGCTCTTTTTCCACGAGAATCTGAATTGCAGTGACTGTGAGTGACACGAAGGCGTTTTTAGCTCGCTGTTCAAGGTGCTGAAGGGGTCACTGAAGAGCAGAACGTTGTCGTTTCACAGAAATAAAGTGCATTTTTCTGCTCCTGCTCCTTCTGAAAAGCAACCTCGAGTTATAGGAATTTATTTATCTATTTCTCAGGATTGTCAAAAAAAGCAACCGAAATTTATCCCACTGATGGAAGCCACCAGGAGAGAGAGACACTTTTGGAACAACTCTTCCATGGTCTCTTTCCCCTCCCCTTTTGTGTTCCACATGATGCAAGCTTTTAATACAAATATTTCTTCCTATTCCTGAAATATTTTCCATTTCTGGCCCCACAATTCCTTCCAAAGCAGTAAAATCAGCACTTTTGTGCACCACTCAAGGCTACCAGGTGTTCTGACAGACTATTTAAATGAATAAATGGCATCTTTTAAATAATTTTTTTTTAAACAAAGCCGATTAAGATGATTTTTCAAGTTTGCAAATGACTCCAACAACATCCCCTGTCATTCCTCATTTCTCCCTTCCAGGTTATCCAAACTCCAACAGCGTTTTTGCCTTTTTCCTGTAACATGATGGAACTGAAAAGTGCTAAAATGAATATTTCAAGGTAATTTTCACTCACACACGAGTTCATGCACAGTTGGGACATTAGATTTGAAATCTATTTACAATTTTACATATTTTACAATATATAGTTCATCTTTACAGCTATGAGATAAGTTCAATCTAACATTGGTACCTTTTTTTTCCTGCTGGAACTTGGCTTCAAGTTAAACTCATTATTAAAAACAATTAAGTGCATGCTTAGAAGGAAGCTTTCAGGAGAGATGTCAATGGACTAGTGTTGCTTAAAAATTACACCAGTTTGTGTAGAAAATCGAAATTCAGTTCAAAAAACCCACCAAAGCCTAATAGAAATCTACTGGACTAAAATAAATACAATTCATTACACTCAACCAAAAAAAAAAAAAAAACCAAAACAAAAAAACCCCAAAAAGTACCTTTAAAAATGTACTGATTTAAGATTTTTTTTTTTTTTTAGCTTTAAATTCCCTTCCCAGCTAGCTGAGGATAATTATCCTGCATAAACCTGAGGCTGCAGTGGTGGGGGCAGCTTGTCATTCTCCACATTTTCAGAGTCAATGGCTGCTAAGGCTTGACTTTTTGGTTTGATCTCTAAGGGATATTTCTCCACAATATCTTCCACCTCCTTGGTGATGCCATCAGTCCAATCAATCAGGTCCTTCTCCAGCTTCTTGGCTTCACTGACAATTCTTTCCTGTCTCTCATTCAACTGAGAGAGGAGGTCTAAGCTTTTGCACATTTGCTTCACCCCCAGGCACACATCAGGGGAGAAACTGTCAGATTCCTGCTTTTTTGGGGAGGTCTGGCCAGTCATGAAACGATCAAAATCTTCCTGGCTCAGATTTAAAGACTGAGCATCCAGTTTTTCAATGAAGGCCACGGCACAGCACTGCAAACAAAACAGAGAGAGCATCACTGCAAGATCTGGATCACCACTGGATTGTACCCATTTTCTATTCCTTACCCTCTTCCTACACCAGCAACTGATTCTTTAAAATACTTTTTTTATGCTTTTCCAGAAGTTTATTTCATCAGACACTTCATACAACTCTTTCCTCTCCCCAAAAGTTTGAAGAAATCAAAAATTGACCTGCCAAGGTACATTCCAGGCCTCAGGGTCTCTGTGTTTGGGAGGTGAGGGAACAGCAGGAACGTGCCAAGGAGACAGGAGCAGTGTATTAATATTTAATTATCTGATCAACAGAGATCTGCTATGCAGATTAATTAATTAATTAATTTCCTGAAGGAAGGAATGTCAAAGCCCAGCTCACTTGGTGGATGCTCAGCTCCTACTGAAATGAACTTTTAACATTCCAAGTGTTTCATTCAAGTCTGTAATTTCCCTCCAGGATTCTTTATGATAAAATGCAGAGCACACCAAGAAATTGCTCTTGGAGAAGCTGTAAAAAAACCTGTTCTAATTCTAATTCTGTAGTGCCTTCAAGAAACTCTCCTGGGCTCAAAGAGGGGACTTTGCATCTGGAACATCTGCACAGCCCAAACTCAGGGTTTGAGGAATAGAAAGTCCTGATCTTGCAGGATAAAAATACACAAAAGTGTATAAAGGTCTTAAAAACCCTTATAGTTATAAAATAAGAAAGTAAAGCTCTGGTTTGGACAGCAGAGAAGGAAGAGAGAGGAGATAAAACTGGCAGTGCTCCAAATAACCTCAACCACTGTTTGAAGATTAATTTTAATTTCTGTTTCCCTTTGCTGGCAATTCCTACCTCCAAATAAAAGCCAAACTTTGCTGTCCAAACCCACCTTTCCTCCTGCACTCACCAGGTTGGTGAAATAATATCCATCCTCCCCAGTCATGAGCCTGCTGGGGTTGCAGAATCGAGTGATGTACTGGATGTTGGACTGCAGGCGTGGGGGGTTCCCCTTGAGCACGATGTAAATCAGGGTGGGCAGGAAATCATCAGCAGATGCTGGCTCATTTTTGGTGATTTTGATGGCATTGAAGATGTGTTTGCTGCATTTGGTGATGCAGGCCAGTTTATCCCGAGGGACACGCTTGGAGTCCATCTCAATGATATCTGGGAGGGGAAAACCAGAAAAAAATTATTGCAATGGTGTTAATCAGGCACTGAATAAACAGGATTTGCTGGGTAATACTGATGGTGCATCGTTTCTGTCTGTGGGGAAGTGTTTCATGTAGATCAGCTAAACCTAAACACTTCAGTGTGGAAAATGATCCCTGCTCCACAGGTGAAATTCCAAACCCACAGAGATTCCTGCACATTGAACAGCCTAGACCCCCCCTGTGATGACAGCAAAAATCATCTCAATAAGCAAGAGAGAGAAAATTTAAAGTTGGCAATATAGAATTCATCACTCACAAACCTGTGATTGCCTTTACAACCATGTCAGAGACTTCTGGGATTTCCTCACTCACAGGAACACACAGCATCTGGGGAGTCACCCAGTGCAAAGCCCTGGGACAGGAAAGAAAGGGTTAAACTTGTCAGTGCCAGTGCCATCCAGGTGTTTGAAAGCAGCTGCTCCCCGAGGAGGGCACAGGGAATGCTTTGTGTGAATGAGGCATTATTCCAGCCATAAACCAGTTTATTCCACTGAAGTAATTTATTTTCAGAGAAAGTATTTCCTTTTTTGAAAAATTTTTTTTGGCTGTAATTTAACAACAGCAAATTTTCCCAGTGTAGTGGTTGTCATTATCTCACCTATTAGCTCTTTATTTTAAATAAAATGGTTTGAACCCTTAACAAGCCATTTTTCTGTGACAGCACAAGGTTTTTAACATGGCTGATTCAGAGCTCATTTAGAGAATTAGGGATTACCCAATTATTTTTCTTTTCAAGCCTTACCTGATCCGTTTTTGCACAGCAAGGTCTTTCTTCTCATCATCAGTTGTCTCAGGGCAAAAAACATATTTATACTGTCGAGTCATGATGTATTTCTCAACCTCATCCATTGCCTTCTCCACTTTTTCAGGGGGCACTGAAAAGGGACAAGTCCCACAAATGAAATATTCAAGGGCTCTTTGGAAGGTTTAATCCAAATATCATCAAATTTATATTACTCACTCAAGCCAGCCCGATTTTATAAATGGATATAATAGGAAGTAAAAAGAAAATGGGTAGAACTCCACTGAGAATTGAAAAGAAAGCTGTAAAAACAAATATTTAAGACAGCAAAACTTCCTGGAGGGAACAATTCTAACTCTGGTACCAGAATCTGCTCCCAGCATTTCTGGAAGCTGGGAATGCTTTGCTTTAACTGCAGATTCAAGAGGTTTGAATTTTACATCTCTGCTTTTGGAACAGGAAGATGAAAAAGAAGAACTTGGTACCTTTCCAACGTGTCTGCAGCCTGTCTGCTACATTTTGGTAGAAGTCCTGGGCACACTCAGATTGTTCCTCAATGCTCAAATCCTGCAGGAGAACAAGGATTAAGTGTGAAGAGCTGGCAGCAACACCTCATGGTTTGTTTTGGTTTCAGGCAAGTGTCCAGCTGCTCTAACAGTCTGAGAATGCAGAGGTGTCAGCAGAGGTGTTTATGGTGGCTCAATTTTATTTAAAAATAGGAGAAGCCAACACTGGCTCTTTACTGTGTGAAAGATTTGTATTTATTTGCTGAATAAATGGATATTAGCACAGGTGCAACGGCTTTTTCCCCTAAAGAGCACTGACAAAACTCAGACTTAAAAAAAAAAAGGTTTGTCCCTATTTAACCTTTGATTTTTTAAAAGACAATTTATAGTCTAGAAAACCCCCAAGAACATCAATTATTTGAAGGAATATCTCCACAGCAGACATGTCTGATGATAAAGTTCATGTGAAACAGCACTGGCTTTTGCTAAGTGAGCTCCTGAAGAATATAACAGAGTTTGAAGGTTTAAAATTTAATTAATTAAAGCAATTTTCATCATTAAATGAAACCATACATTAAAAAAAAAAGTGAGGGGAGAATTTGATTTCTGAATTCTCTGAGGCCAAAACCAGGACATTTTCCTGAACACAAGTCCCAGCCCTTGCTGAGACTGGACTTTAGGCCTGGTTTATGGGTAGTAAAAAATCCCCTGTTTTGAAAAGGCTGAAGGAGGAAATGAGAACACCTTCAGTGCTTGAAGCCAAAAATAAACCCACACTGTTCTCACCAACTCTGTGCTCAGAATGAACAGATCTAAAAGAAAAGAAACCAAAGTTCAAGAAGATTTCAAAGCTGAGGGAATGCAAGATTCCATGAGAACTTGTGTGAGGAGATAATTTGAGGAATAAGAAAGGGAGAAGAAGAGAGGAAAAAAAGTTGTGCTGAATTTTGACTCATTCCAACCATAGGTGGCACCACAGACTGATTTATATTTCAAGACCGTTGTTTTTTTTTAATGGAAAATGAAGATGTAACACTTATTTCATATTAAAAATACCCCTTAGCACAGTCAAATTCCCCTTCCCCAATAAAAGAAGAGAGGTGAGTTGATGCTGAGTTGTCTTTAGAAGTTTTTAGCCTTAAGTTGTCTCATCTCTGGAAGTATCCAAGGCCAGGCTGGATGGGGTTTGGAACAACCTGGGACTGTGGAAGGGTCCCTGCCCAAGGAACCAGGTGATCTTTAATTCCCTTCCAAGCCAAACCACCCTGTGATATTTAAAACTCACCAGGTGATATCTTATATCATTTCCACAAGTCATATCAATGTAGAATATTGCTGAACAGACTCATTTATGTGGGATTTACTCAGGACTAATTTATCTGGGATGCCCTGGGCTCTTTTGATCTCACACTACCAAAAAAAAAAAAAAATGCACCCAGATCTTAATTTGATTAATCCAATCATCTGAAAGCTCCTGCCACATTCCAGAAAATTCAAAGTGGAAGAAGTGCAGAATTTCCTCCCTCTCTCCCCAATTCCCCCATTTTACTGAGACAAGAGGCATTCAGAGCTCACCCTTTTATGACTCATGGTGTCCAAAAAGAGTTTGCATTGCTTGTAGATGTCCTGGCCAGGCTTCTGGTAAGTCCTGATGAATTCTATGAACTCCTTGGACACTCTGTCAGTCTCGATGCTGGCCTGCCTGTGGATGGAAGGGCTGGGAGCTTTGGCCTCCTGGATCTCTGCTGGCAAAATTCAGGGCACAGCAGATCAGGTTTTTTTTCACTGATGGATCATTTCAGAAAGGCTTTAGCATTGTGAGTAGTTTTTTGGGGTTTTTTTTGAGCTGTGCAGACAATTGGTCGTTTATTTCTCAAGCTTTGCCAGGGAAATGCTGGATATTATTCAATGCAGCAATAATTATTAAACAAAAGTCCAGGAAAAGTGAGTATCCCACTGAAATGGATTTAGAGCCACACCCCCATTCATACTAATGCCATTTTTATATTAGAAATGACTGCAACACAGCGTTGGTTTTGGGTTTTACAGTCCCCCCAAGCTCAGACACCTCCATTTAAAGTTCCCAGCTGGGATTCTGCAGATTCCTAAAAATCAGGGGGTGGTTTTCCCACTCCCCCTGACCTCCACAAGTGGCTCCCAAGCAGCTCAGGACAGTTCTGCTCAAGGACCATGCACTGCAAGGTGACAGAGCTGCATCCATGGGGGTTTTTCCCACAAAAACATCTGATTTTCCAAAATCCAAGTTCATTGTGCTGCTCCAATACCTTCACCCACCTTTCAGCTTGCCAGCCAACGCTGTTGGAAATGGAGGGATTGAATAGAGGTGGTGGAAATGAACGTGGTGAGAGGCAAGCAGCAGAGAGACAGAAAACATGAAAATATTCATGGTCAGCATGAGACAAACACGGCTTTCAACCTGCAAACACTTCACATGCACAGAAATCCTGCTTTCAACAAGCATGCAGAACTCCAAAGGAAAAAGAAGTGGGATTAATATCTTTAAGTTGATTTAATTTGGATTTGAGGGAGCTTCGGGGAGCTTTTTTTGGTTGTTGTTTTTGAAGAGATTCAGCACTACAGAAAATCCAAAGTTGTGTCACCCAGTAAATACCAAACTGCTCCTGTGACCAAAACTCCACACTTCAGCACAGGGAATAACTTGTCAGGCACCATCAGAGCACCTCTGGTATTTCAGTGCCCAGAACAGAAAAGGTTTTGCAAATATTTAAATTCCAACTGCAGCAATTGAGACAAAGAGTGCAACAACTCCTTTCCAGTTACTCAGGGACACTTTTCCAGAGGGGATTTCCTTCCATTGCTTTTATACCCAAGATTCACTGCATGAATCTCAAATCCTGCACAGGATTCCAGCTGAAGGGTGGTCATTAATTAAATTTGTCACATTTAACATTAGAGAAGCAGCAAGCTTATTTAGAAATAATTAAGAGAGAAAAGGGCAGAGTTATCAGATATTTCTTCCATGATTAATCATGATCTCATTTCACAGTACAGCTGAAGGTTTATTTACTTACTTCAACAATGAGTTCACTCTTACAATGAGCCTCATTTTACTGTTTGACTTTAAGGAATGTGAATATTTTTTCAGTCACAAATTCAAACTAGATTGTTGTTTAGTTACTAGAGAGATGTAGTTAACTGAGGCAGATTAATATTAAGTATTAAGAAGTGAATGTTAATTGGAATGAACTGTCTTTCAATGAGTTACACCACGAATTATTAGTAGTTGCAACTTCGTTAATCTCTGAGCTGAAATACAGATTTAAGGAAAATTAATCTGTACTGATTACCAAGGGCTGCAGGAACCAAAGAACTTCCAGCAGCAAAATATCCTCAGGTTTGTCCTGTGCTGCCAGAGAATTCAGTCTAACTAAAAAGAAGCTGATTACAGCCAAGAAATTCCAACAAGTTAAAGGCAGCCCAGCAGAGGAAAATGCAGAAATGCCAAGAGCGAGCATGGGAAGAGTTAAGGAAGGATCAGCTTCAGAAAGAATCAAGATAATGAATATTTCAATCTTTCTACAAGAAAGCCACTTGTCACAGCAGAACAGGAGCACTCCAGGGATTCACTATGGTTGTGCCATGGCCACAGAGCCCAGTCCAAGCATGGGATGTGACACAGGGTTTGTCACCAGCTCTGTCACACACAGCCCTTCATCACCTTCCTGGCATTTAACAAACATCTGCACATTTCTTTAGCCAGCAGAACAGGACTGCAAACAATTAATGGAGGATGGGCTCTTAAAGCTGTTTGCACCAAGGGGTTTGGTGTCCTTTTGGTTTAAATGAAACCAGAGTCTCCTCTTGATGGGAGATTTTCTTCTTGGTTTATATAACAAACATCTGGAGATGCTTTGAGAATGCCAAAGTTCTTGAAGTGCCAACTTCAGTAGTTTCAACTCCTAATAATCAGATTTGTAACAGCAACCTGGATTGTTTTTTTAATGAAAAACACAAAGCAGCACAAGATCCAGTTAATTCTTAGGAAATTCTTATTTTTTTGATCTTAATCCTAAGGTGGAGCTCAAAGAAGCTTCAGCTTTACTCCTATGACTCCCAACTAAAAAGCAAAGGATTGGTTCAGAGATTCAACACAACCTCAGGATGCTGGACTTGCTTTTGTTGCCATCTTCATGTTGAAGAGCACGACTTACAACTGGCACAACCCTAGTTTGTGTTTAGCAAAGCCCAACTAAGAGCCAAGCTTACTAAAACCAGGCAGACAGCTTGCCCAGGCTGTGCTGCATTACCTTCAGAAGGGGAAGCCAGTTCCCAGGAGGGAGTAAAAATCTCCTTCAAATCCCTGAGAATGTTATCAGCATTTCTCTCCCTCCCAAGCTGTCCTTGCTTAGGGGTTTTCTCTTGAGCTGCTGAAATAAAAAGGCCAAAGCAAGCAGGGCACCAAGAGCAGGAGCGTGGCAGGATGGGTGGTGAAGGGATAAAAAAAGAAAAGATGCAAAGTGAGAAGAATGAACATTAAAAAAAAAAAAAAAAGTTTAACACAGGTGAATGAATGTCTCATGTAGCCAGCTGCTGCCATGCACCAGGACAACTCTAATCTGAAAAATGCTGAATTTCAAATTAAGGAAATGCATAGTCTCTAAGGTTAAGACAGATTAATGCTGCTTTTCCTTCTGGAATTCCTCCTCCACAGCCCAGCATTTCCCAGTTTTTGCCTGTGTGAGCTATTGCTATGCAAAGCCAGCAGTGCCATTCATCATTCCTGCTTGTAACACATTCTGTAGAACAAACACCCAACCCAGCCAGCCACCAAGTTGGCATTCCCAGCCCACACAAACACTGCAGCCTCACATTTCTGTGCAGCTCAAGGCTCCCTGCTCACACATCCCATTTTGTCCTGTCAAACTGAGGCACTCTGGCAGCACCAGCTGATATTTTCTCTCAGGGTTTCTGTCACACTCAGCCACAGCATTTGCTGAGGTGAGTGACAGCACCTTCTCAGCTGCTCTCTCCAGCAGGAATTCCCCTTCCAGCCCTAAATCCTGGTGTGACACCAGGGCTGACTCAGGAATTTCAGGGCAATGTGCCAGAGGAACAAGGAACTTCCCCTCAGCAGTGCAGTGCCACCACCAGGAACACATTTATGCTGTTTAGTGGAAGAACTCCTGTACAATCACATATAAACACAGGCTTAGCAATGCACTGCTCCATTTCACAGATTGTTTGGCATCACTCACATTTTTCTGTGTTTTCAGTAACAATCACTCTCCAGAAGCATCACTATTCCAACTTTGGAAAGTCAAAGCACATTAAACACACAAAGCATTAATCTGCCTTTTAGAACAACACATCTGCCAGAAACTTTTAATTTTAAAATGTACAGAAGCATGACAAGCAAAGGAGAGTTACCCTTCTTAGCTCCTGCTCTGGAGGAAGCAGTGAAGAACTTTTTCACAGTAGTGACCTTTCTTGTTTTCTCATTGGTTTTCTTCTCCTCAAACTTGGAAAAGGTCAGGGACTGTGCCCCTTGGGTGCTCTGGCTGCTGGCATAGGCCTCTTCCTCCTCACGTTGGAGCCTGGAGTTAAAAGATACAGGTCTGATTTAAGGGCTGATTTCCTGTGCAATCATTAATTACTCATTTCACATGTTAATTCTTCCCTCTCTTCCTTCACTGCAGGACACCCACCCTTTCCATGCTGCAGTGGTAAAAGTCACCTTGCCCTCGTGTCACACTCTGAATTCTCCAAAGGCACAGGGGAGGATTTCCAGCAGGGGATTCATTGCCTTCCTCCCTGCCTCACACCGAATTCCCCAATCTGTTACCTCAGGCAGTCCTTTCCCATCTCACAACTGCAAAATATCCTGTCCCAGTCTCAGGAATATTTTGGGAAATAGATCGTTGTCATAATTTGCTTTGGTAATATAATCTGCTTGAATGGATGAGGAAAAGTTTGAAAGATCAAGTTTTTAATCTAAAGTAGAGAAGGGCAAACTCACCAATCCTGAAACCTTTTTTCCTTCTATGAAAGAGGATTCAAACAGGTTACATTTTGTCACCCTTCAAGATGCTTGGAGGCTGAGGAATTGTCTTTAACCATCCCTCGAGCTCAGGATGGACCATAAATAGTCTGGGATCTGCAATTTCTTGAGGCAGGAATTGTATTTTATCAGTGCTGACAAGCCTGTCTGTTCACTGCAACAAACAATCAAAGCTTATCTGTGCCTTTAGCATCTCCCAGCTATTCATTAAAGAATTCCTTAAATACCCCACTTTGTTTTAGAGATGATCTAAGACTGGCAGCATAACTATCTGCCTGAATAATAAAGTTTTTATTAACTCTTTAAGATATTTATGGCAGAAGAACACAGTGACACGATCTCTGTGCTGCTACCTCTGAAAACACATCTTCCATTTTCAGGGTCAAGCATTTATCACACGAGGAAAACTAGATTGGTTTGCAGAAAATAAGTGATTAGACAATTAACTAAATTAGCAAAGCTAAAGCTTTGACATTCTTGGGTTTAAGAATGCAGTTTCAAAGAATGACCACAGACAAGACTAAAAGCAGTTTTTAATCAGCAGCTGGAATGTAAAACCATGGTGCTGCCTATACCCAAGTAAATAATTGCCATATCCACAGGGTATTTTAATAATTTTTTTCCATTTAACCCTTCTAATTGCTAGATAGAAATACATGCTTGCATAAGCAAATTAGGTCAAAGTATTCATTGGGAGGTTGGGCTCTGTTTACATTTGCTCCTTCCCAGATTTTCTTTTCAAACCTCTTATACTAGAATGCCATAAGTATCCATCTTTGCATCAAAAGGAAGGTTTGAATTCCTGCTGGAAAGGTCAAACTGGGGAATTTGTGATGGACATGAGCCAGAGCAAACAGGAGCAGGAAACAGGAGGCAGGGATAGAATTTAGTGGAGTGACCCTGAAGGAAGAAAGAAGGTTCTTTACCGCTCTGCCAGCTCCCAGTCCTCTTGGATCTGCTTCTGCCTGGCCTTGTGGTATTCCTCCCTCCAGCACTTGGAGCAAAAGCCCTGCCAGGCAGGATTGCCATAGTAACCACAGCCCTTCTTGCACAGCAGCTCCGACTGATCCACGTGGATTCCTCTGCGCTCCGATTTCAGGTTCATTTTCCTCCTGGTGGAAAAGGAGAAGGGTTAAAAACACGAAGGTGGCAGCAGCCTGCTAGAAATCCCTGCTGAGGGTTTGCCTTTGGAAAGGAGTCACCTGCTTGAATTATTTAACAGCTCCATAGCAACCAAATGAATGCCACGGGAGGAAGGGCACAGTTACATAACCAGGAGCCCCGAAGGCAGGGGAGCACCGGCACATCTCTGTAGGGCTGCGACCCTCACACAGCTCCAGGGAGTGTCCCAGGGCAGCAGGGACAGTCCCACAGACAGGGGACAAACTGCCAAGGCACGTCTGGGTAGGGCTGCGACCCTCACACAGCTCCAGGGAGTGTCCCAAGAACCAGTGACAGTCCCACAGCCAGGGGACAAACTTCCAAGACACATCTTTGCAGGGCTGAAACCTGCACACAGCTCCAGAAAGTGCCCCAGGGTAGCAGTGACATTCCCATGGCACATTCTTGCAGTGACAGTCCCACACTATGGGACAAATTGCCAAAACACATTTCTGTAGGGCTGTGACCCTCACACAGCTCCAGAAAACGGCTCAGGGCAGCAGGGACAGTCCCACAGGCAGAGGACAAACTGCCAAGGCACATCTTTGTAGGGCTGTGACCCTCACAGAACTCCAGGGAGTGTCCCAGTGAACCAGTGACAGTCCCACAGCCAAGGGACAAAGGCCCAAGGCTCTGCTCTCACCTCGTTCTGACAGCCAGAGCACAAAGCAATGGGGAGAAAAAAAAGAAATAAAGTTCCAAAAAGCAACCAAGGGAGCACACAGAATATATTGTATTCTGAGACAGAACACAGAACCACACTGGTGAGGCTTCAGGGATCTTTGGCCTCCAAAAGTGTCCCCAGGGCCCAGTGAGGAATCCCAGCTGGGCACATCCCCAATTCCTGCAGGTTGTGCCAGAGCTGAGCTGCCTGCACACAGCACAGATCTGGGGTTTGTATTCAGTGTCTGCAACAAAAAGATTCTCCTGCCCACACCAGCACTGCCAAGGCTGTCCCTGACAGAAACCAGCCCCCATCCCAGCTCCCTGCTTCCCAGGGGAAATGCTGGAGTCATTGCAGGAGAAAAGCAGCACAGGATCATGTGCACCAGCAAGGTTAAGGTGTGCACATTAAAATATTGACATTTGGATTGCAATATTGACAGACAGGGAGAGCAGGGATAGCACAGCAAGGCTCTGCCCAGTAAACCCAGCCCCTTTTCCTTCCTGCCATGTCAGAGGTCCCACGTGTGGAAAGTGAGAGGAAAAGGGATTTTCTCAAACTGAAGAGCAGCAGTAACTGAGTCAGTTCTCTTCTTTTCCCCTGAAATTCCACTCCAAACTCTGCTCTGGATCATCCAGCAGAAGATGGAATATGCACAAATGTCACTGAGAGTTTTCTGCTACAGGAAGTTTCAGCTCTTTTGTTCCAAGCTCAATTATCCATTTTGAAAGCCTGATAATGTTTAACATTTCCCATTAATCTAATCAAGTTATTTTAAGCAAAGTAACAGGAAACACACGATTTTCTCTGAGGGGGGAACAAACTCAATATTCCATCTTATCTACGTAAGTATTAAGATTTCTTCCACTTTTCTATTTTTGAAAGAAATAATGAGTTTCTAAAAATGACCTAAAAATAGTTTCATTGTAGAGACATGCATATTAAAGGAATCAATTTCTTAATGACATAATTTATAGCTATGTGTTCTCATTTTTATAGATGGGAGAACAGCTGAATCCTTTCTTTCCCACTGAAAACCTGACAGACAATATTGTGCTGCTGCAGAGCAAAATGGAAAAACAAACAAAACAAAACAAAAAAATAGATATTTTAAATATTTAAGAGCTTTACTTCATTCCATATGCAGAAATAACTGAGAAAGATAAATATGTTGCTTTCACAAACATTTTTTGGTTTAATTTCCTGACTTCTCAAGGAAGGTCTGTGTGGGAGCTCCTGGCTGCCAACACCTCCAGGCTCAGAAATTAAACTTTCAGTGTGTGTCAGCTGCACAGCCCGGGCAGGAATTGCATTTTGGCAGGATTTGCACACTCAGGCCATCCCCAGAACATCACTCATGTCCTTGAGCAACAATTCTGAAAAAAAGGGGAAGTAAAAGTCTGAAACTCTTCACTGATTCAGTTTCAAGATTGCTTCCCAAAAGCAGAAGCTGCAGCAGCATTTTGGTCAGAGATCTCTACTGCAGGTGCCTGTCCTGAAAAAAAAAAGCTATAAATATGCAGAAATGTTTAATTGCCATTAATGTGAAGTTGATCAATGTTTTCACTGTAAACCACAAAGACACAATAAATAAAAACAGTCTTATATCACAAACTTCCCAGAAATTTTACAGGGATCTCTGCCACCCGAGGAAATAAAACCCTGTCACTCAGAACAGAGTTACAACTCTGGAATTGTAATAATTCCAAGAATTCAGCTGTCTGCTCTTATTCCAAAGGACCATATTCCAGACTCTAATTTGAGAATTAAAGGAGTAGAATGAAATACCTGCCCCAGCTTCTCTCCCAGCCCAACACCTGAAACCACAGCGAGGTTTCTCTGCCACTTGGGCACTTTGACCCCTCCAGAGAGGCACAAAAATCATCTTTGTGCCCCCAGAGCTTCACCCCCACAGTGCCAGCGTTTCCCTCTGGCATCCTGTGTGTACATGAAAAGAAAAAGAAAGTTCTGCTCATCCTCCAAGCTCAGCAGCTTCGCCCAGAGTGAGCAAAGCAGGGCTGCAAAGAGCTGCAGAGTCAGGAGCCCTCCCCTCCCTGGCAGGGCCACCAGCTCAGACGTGGGGACACAGGAGTCACCCTGACCCACAGCAAGGATCACATGCTGCACACTCAGCTCAGACTTGCACCCAGAAAAGGTCATTGTGAAACCAAAAAGTTTCCCAGCTGATTTCTGCAGGTCAGCAGTAATATTTTAATGAAGAAAACAACCTGGGTGTTAATAAAATGAATGTGAAAAAAAACCCTCTCAAATTAATTTTTGGTAAGTAAATCACTTCTTACATTATAATCTTATATAATCCAAATGTTTTGTTGGAATTGTTGAGTTCCAAAATGCTTTTTCCTCCTTTCTCTGTTCCCTTCTCTGCCTTGCACTCCAGCTAAAGGTGATTGATTATTCCTTATCCAACAATCCTCAGAGTGTTTGCACAGTCACAGCACACATTCTGCATGGTCACATCTCTTGTTTTCACTCTTGCCCTGAATAATGGCCTGTTCAAAGCTCACTTCTAACATAACTCAAAGGAAGAAAACAAATCTGTTGTTTTTCTGGAATTGGAGAGCAGGCAACTCCAAACACCTGTACACCACCTGTTCACTGAGAAGCCAGGAAAACATAAGGAAGGCAACAAACTTCCACATTAAAGCAAAAAGACAAAACTCTAATCCAGAAGTACAATAAAGGTCATAAATAACATTAACTCCTACAAGCTGGAGAGGTGCTTTGCACCAAACATCCTTCTTGCATCTCCTGTATCCCACATCTCCCTCCCAGGAGCAAAAATTCACTGTAATTTAAAATCTATTCATCCACTGCTGTGAATATCAGCAGGGAAGGCAAAGTGACACCTCACAAACACCACGGGACAAAAACTTCCTTTGAGCTTTTCTGTGCCAGGACCAAAACTCATCACACCTCAATATCTGTGCTAATTAGCAACACCCCTTTGATGAGTTTGGAAAAAAAAGAATGGGCTCTTAGATTTAGTTATTCATTTATAAAATGCTTTTATTTAATGTTGCTTATTTGCAAGTAAAAGATTCTGGTCTCCAGTTCTCCACTGAAATGGGAAAATGGAAATCACCCAACTATGATTTTCTAAATTTTCTCTTTTCTTTGATTTTTAAAGTGCACCTCACACACCATGGGTGGCTCCCGAGGGATTTATTTGGGATAATCACAGCCTGGAAAGGTGTCCCACTGCTGCCTGTGGACACCAAAATGCTCCCTGTCTTAGAGCCACAAGAATTCCCAGTTGGAACCTCCAAGTTATGCATGGCCAGCTTTATTTTTCCAAATTCCACTGCAATCAAAAGCAAACAAGGGCTATGATTCATGTGAAATCAGATCTATCTGCAGTTCTCATATTAAATCAGACCTATCTGCAGGGCTGCACATCAAAGGTCTTTAGTGACAGCTCAGATCTGCTCCAGCTTTTTTAGAGCATCTCCCAGCAGTTTTGTTATGATGGGAAAAAACCCCAAATCACTGTGGTTTAATTCAAAATTAGCTTTCTACTGGCTTTAATGCAATTTATTCTGAAGCTCTCAAATACATCTCCCTATCAACATATTTTTCTTGCTGTACTCACACTTACATAATATTTTTTTCTTTTTATTCACCCATTTAGAGCAAACACCTTTTTAAAAGGGCAGCACCAACTCAGAGACTTCTCATCCTTGCTCACACCCCTCAATTTTTTCATCCAAGAAGACCCCCAACAAATCACAGCTCTCCCTTCAGAAAATGGGGACTCACAGAATATTTTTCAGGAAGGACAAAGCAGCTGCCTGCCCTCTGTAAAGCTGAAACTGAGAACATTTGCAAACACTGCAGGAACCCAAACCAGTAAAACCAACTTTCCTGCAAAATGTTCTGGCTCAGAGCCACTTCACTTTCCCTGTCACACACTTTGAACCAACACAGAGAGAGCTCAAACACAGGAAACACCAATTTTGTTCCAAACCCGTAAATCCCAATATTTTTGCCAGTATTCCATATAGGGAACTGAAGGAGCAGCAATCATTCCTCCAGGACTTTGGGCCTCTTGTAGATCAGTAAAAGCAAAATACTGAATTCTAATTTTCACACAGAGCAAGAAAAATTTATATTAAACCTATTAAACCAAGTATCAATCACAGCAGAGAGCAGATGCATCCTCACCTTTTATGTGGTAGGAAAAAAAAAAGGGCTCCTCCAACCCAGATTGGATGTAGGGCTGATTTCATGCACACATGAAAGACCAAACTTATGTAATACCTTCTTTTCAGCAAGAAACACAAGAAATTCTCACAACACAAAGGCTGCACACACAGCTTTGGCTTGGGGAAAAGATGTTTTAGGAGCAGCACAGATTTACCACGAGCTCAAACACCTCCAGCTTGTTTTTCTGGTTCTTTTCCACCCCCTTGCCTTGCAAAATTATCTGTACCTTTATTATGAGTGCACATTGTGAGGAGGGATCAGCTGGGTCATAAACTATTTATTAGTCCTGGATTGCTGAGGTCACCTTTGAGAGAGCTGCCTGGAAAAACTCATTTTCAAAGCTGAACAGAAAGGGTCTTGCTTAATCAATCAATAAACACCTTCAGGAAGAGCTAATTGCAATCAATTTATAATTACTACAAGCTGTGAAGAACAGTTTTTAAGTAACTCCACAAGCTAAGACTGGAAATTAAAACAGCTTTAATTCTATAACTGAAGTTCTATAAATGAGAGTCAGTATTAGCAACAACTTAATTAAATGTATCTAAAACCAGCAAAACACAGACCTGGAACAGGCAGGTTTGGTTTGTTGGTAAGTTTTGGTTTCTTTTTGCTGTTGTTGGTTTGGTTTTGTTCTTCCCTCCCTAAAATTGTTTCCAAAAAAAAAAAATCTTGGCACAAGTATTAGCAACAACCTACAGCAGACTTTTCACTGGGCTGAAGCAAACGTGACTGGGCTCTTCACAAGTCACTCTAGCACTTAATGAGCAAATTGAATTCTAATTCAAAAATATCAAAGTGCCCCAAAGTCCACCATGAACTCACTGCAACTCTTTGGTCGTTAAAGGCCATGGCCAGAAATGGCATTTGAAAGCAGAAAAAAATAAAAAGAAAAGCAGGGAAGCCTCCAAATACACAATTCTTACATGAACTGCTGTTGGTTCACATTTTGCCTGAATATTCCATCATAATTCAGAACAAGACAGCAGCCAGCAACTTTAATTACTAAAAACAGATTTATAAGGTGGGTTAGAAAGTGCATCAAAACTGAGGGGTGGAAGGATGGAGTCAAGGTGTATTTTGTATTTTCCCAAAGGAAAAGTGCCCTTAAAATGTATTTTTTTCCAAAGATTCACTGACGCAAACGCCCCAAAATTCTGAAGAGCAGCAACCTACGTGTTGAAAGAGTCGTGATTCAGGTGCAACCCCAAGCACTCAGGCATGTAATTAGCAGCAGGGTAATTAACCATGAGCTAATTTCCTCCCAAGGAAAGGGTGGGGCAAGATGAGCTCAGGCTCCAGAACAGAAAACACAAAAGCCATGAGACAAGTGGGGAATTAGGCAAGAAAGGCGGGTGTTATCTGTGCCCTGCTCGCACTTTTAATGTGCATCTCGCTCGCAATTACAGGATTTCAGCTGCAGCAGTTGGAGGATAAACAGCGCAGGCTGCTCAAAAATAGTCCCAAGAAAAGAAACAGTCACTGCTCTGATGAGCAACCACCTCAAACAAACCACGGAGCTGGGTCCTGCTGTTCAGAGGGGAAATTGCAGCCACTGCTTCAGACCTCTGAAGTGCTGATGGCCACAAGGCTCCAGCTCAATTTCCTCAGCTTGGAATTGTGTTTTCCCTTCAAATGTCAGCACAGGCCTGGGGCTACACGTTTGGTTTGTCCCTTCAAATGTCCAGGCTGTGTCTCACCATCTCCATGTGACCCGCAGCTGTGCTTCAAACGAAATCACAGGAAACTTCTAAAAAACTCTTTGTGCTGCTTGATTGGGAATTCAGGTCAGAATAAAGAAAAGATTAGCTTAAACTGCTAAAATCTCCTCAGAAACAGCAACAACAGGCTCCTACACACTGTTTATTTCCTGCCAAGCACACTCACCTGGACACAGATGGAAATTAAGTTGCCTTAAACTTCAGAGAAAAACTTCAAAATATACACTTTGTACCTGACTTGTTACAAGTGGCATTTTAACAGGACTTCACAAGCAAAACTTCTAGCTCTAGTTTTAGATCACAAGTAGTTAATCGTCAGAAAAAAAAACGTCTCAAGCATAATTGGGGATTACACAACAAGGAAAGAAGGAGCTGAGAAAGCTAGAACAGCCTTAAATAACACCACAAAATAAAATTAAAAATCAGAATCATGGACTATCTTCAAGCTTATAATCAGTTTGTTGTGTAAAGTGGTCTTAGGAATTGGTATATTTGGTTTTGTATACTATTCTCCCTTTCTGCTATGTGTTGTTTTGGACTTTTTCTTGATGAGCAAAACATTCCACTGAGCTACAATTCTCTTCCTAATCCTCCCTGCTGCAAAAACCACTTGTGTAACCGTGTCCAGAAGGCCAGCACATCCAATTCCTGAGCAAAGCACTCCTGGTGTTCCTGGAAAACCTCATCCTTCTACGCTGGTCTGGTTTGGTCACTGCTCTCAAAAAAGCCCTGGGTAACTGGAAAACCAAAATCAGCTCAGTTCAGCTCCCAAAGTCCTGGTGTGGGGAATTTAACTCATTTTCAAATGAGCCCAAATAACAAAAGTATGGCAAACCAATTATAGATTTAAATCACAACCTCCACAATGCCACCGTTTCCCCCAAATCGTTCAGTGCCGCTAATTCCCAGCACTGGGCCCCACTTAGCCAAACAAAAAAAATATATTTAATTTTGCCTGTAAAATCTTCCCAGTGAACTCAGCAGCAGGATTTCAGACAGCACTGAGCCACCCCCTCAGAGAATTTCTTTTGTAATTCGAGCACATCATTCATGTCTCAGTATCTCACACCCTCCCTGAGCCACTCCCTGCTTCAAGGGAACAGCCCGAACTCTCCAGTGCCACAAGCAGCGACTAACACCCACAAAAGCATCCAAAACGCACTGCTCAGCATCTTAAATATTCTCTGAACTTCACCTGGCTTCACTTTAAAGGACTTTGATCCTCAGCTGTGCACTGAGAAGCCGGGCAGGGACAATACTTATAGGAAAAAAGCCAAAAACCTCATTGATCCTCAAGGAACTCATCAGGAAAACCGGCTGGGGTGGGGGATTACTGGTAAAACTATCAGTGACACCTGCAC